GCTCTATTCAAAATTGCCAACAACTGGAAACAACGCAAATATCTTTCATGAATGAATAAACAAACTGTGGTATATCCATTTAACCAAACATTGCTCAGTAATAAAAACAAACCAGCAACTTGATGACTCTCAGACATACTGAGTCAAAGACGCCAGCCTCAAGAAGTTACTTATCATATGATTCCATTTATATGACATTCTTGAAAAGACAAAACTATAGGGATGGGGACAAGGGCTTGGGGCGGGGGGGGATAATGTCCAGAAGGGAAATGAGGGAAAAGAATAAGGAAGATTTTTAGGGTGATGGAACTGGTCTATATCTTGACAGTGATGATGGTTACTCAAACTTATACATGTGTTTAAATTCACAGACCTCAATATGAACAACGAAAAACAATTTCACTGTGTGATAATTTAAAAATTTTTTGTGAAAGTCAAGGCAAGCAGAACTCTGGTCAATGTATTAAACCTGGCCCTATCCCAGAATACACAGGGTGATGCCTTTCTGAGCCCCAGCGTGGATGCATAGACAGTTTTGACTTGAATTACTAGTCTGTGTTCCATGTTCTCCCTACTTATAGTATCACTTGCTTAGCATTTCATGGCAGTGCTGCAGGCACACGGACACCCTTTATCCTACCTAGGTCATTAATCTGTGCAAGTGAACAAGTGGCCCCATCATCTACCCTTCTCTGTGCCCCTTTGCCACGTGACTGTGCGGTACCCTCCCACTCTGATTCTGGTTTCTGCCTTGTAACTTGCCTTGGCAATGGGGCATCAGCCAATGTGACATGCTGGGAGCTTGGATGGCACCTGTAGGGGTGGGCTTTCCCTGTTTGTGTTCCCTGCCTTACAAACCCAGGCTGGCCCGCTGGTCCTGGGAGGAGGATGGAAGATCTGTGCCTCTTTCCCTTTCACAGCCCAGTTTTTCCATTCTTCCCAGTAAAGGCCATCCTGCCTCCACAGCCAGCCACTGATCACCAGGCACAGATGCCAGCTCAGCCAGCACAGGCTAAGCCCCCTAGCCCATGACCTGATGCATAAGCAATATGTTATTATCACATACCAGTATCATGCATGTTTGTTATACAGCAATGACATGGCAGGAGATAACTGATAACCAAACCGAGTAACCATTCTCAGTTATCACTCCCAGTTATCACTTTTAAAAGTGCAAGGGGAGGTTGGGCGCAGTGACTCACACCTGTAAGTCCAGCACTTTGAGACGCTGAGGTGGGAGGATTGCCTGAGGTCAGGAGTTTGGGACTAGCCTGGCCAACATAGAGAAAACCCGTCTCTACTAAAAATGCAAAAATTAGCCAGGCGTGGTGGTGCGCGCCTATAATCCCAGCTGAGGCAGGAGAATCACTTGAAGCCAGACAGGTAGGCTGCAGTGAGCCGAGATCATACCACTGCCCTCCAGCCTGGGTGACAGAGTGAGACTCTGTCTCAAAAATAAATAAATAAAAATAAAAAGTACAAGGGGAAATGGCAGAAAGCCTTGAATCTGCTTGACCCACTGAGAAGAAAGCTGTCCCCAAGATCAATTATACTGTGGCAGGACAGGACGATTTTGGTCTATAAATGGCAGTCAGTTTCTTGTATGCTATGGACACATCTCTCTGATATAGGAGATATTTTATTACTTGTTTTTTAAAGCAAATCCCACATAGGATGGAGGTCATTGTGCCGAAAATACCTAATCTGCTTCCCTTATTCCAAAGTGAAGTTTCAGATGTTCCAATGTTTAAAAATAAAAGACATGAAGTAGGGCAAGCAATTGTAATAATATCTAAGCTGCCAACTCAAATCATTTTGGGACTGAAGTGAGAGTTTGAAAAGAGAAGTAAAAAATACAGTCAAAATACCTTCCCTTTGAGAAGCTCCTAGCAGGTAATATTTCTTTTAATCCTCCCAACAAGCCTGTGAGATCTCTGCCACTATCCCCATTTTATAGATAGAGATGCTGAGGCAGAGGTCAAGTTCGCAAGGCTCCTATGTAGCTGAGCTGGAATTTGAGCCCAGGTCTGTTTTGCTCAAACTCTTGCTCTTTCTGTCATGTACCAAGCTGTTGATGACCTCCTGTGAGAAATTACTTACAGAGCTTTGGCTTAGCCACTGTCCTGAAATCTGACCATGTACCACACTAACCACTTTACTGCAGTGAAAAGAAGATCCATTATTTTGGGTGTTCCTGGCACTTGCAGTCTGGTCTCTCGGCTCAGCAGCTTAGGGCCTGGCCAGCGGATGGCATCTTTATGCTAACAAGATCCCAGAGTCCCAGCCTCTGAGATTGACCTGACCAACAGCTGGGAGGAAAGCGAGTGACCGTGGGTGGAGATAGAAGAAATCTACATTGTCTCCTAAACGTGCTCAAAGAATGTGCTTGCTGTGTGCTCCTCCAGCCCCCTATGACCTGAACATATCTTTTTTTTTTTTTTTTTGGGACAAGGTCTCACTCTGTCACCCAGGCTGGAGTGCAGTGATACGATCTTGGCTTGCTGCAACCTCTACCTCCCAGGCTCAAGCGATTCTCTTGCCTCAGCCTCTTGAGTAGCTGGGATTACAGGTGTGCACCGCCGCCATGCCCGGCTAATTTTTGTAGTGTAAATAAAGATGGGGTTTCACCATGTTGGTAAGGCTGGTCTGAAACTCCTGACCTCAACTGATCTGCGTGATTTGGCTTCCCAAAGTGCTGAGATTACAGGCATGAGCCACTGCGCCCAGCCCCCTGAACACCTCTTAACACCAGCTCTGCCCTGCATCTAAGGAACCCAGAAATTACTTGTGTACACTCCTGCTAGCAACAAAAGTGAACCCTGCTGCAGCCACAGCTAAACTAGTTAGTGCTTACACTGTGCATGGTGTGAGCTCTTCAACCTTCCGAGGTAGGGGCTATAATTAGTCCCATTTGACAGAGTGGAAAACAGAGGCATGAAGTCCCTAAAGGTTCTAATTCCAGATCATTTATATAGTAAATGGCACGACCTCGAGTCAAAACCAGGCCTGCATGGCTGCTGCCCTCCTCCTCACCAATGAGGCCATTCTGCCTGTACCTTTAATGTGAAAGTCATAAACAAGCCTTGCCCCCCAACCCAGACAGTATGGCTTGTTTGCTACTGCATTAGTAATTTCTCAATCTGCCTTCCCAGAACAAGCTAGTGAGAAAAACATCCTCAACTCTGTCACAGCAAATTCTCATATGTAAAAAAGAAAAACACAAACTCCTGTTCTTATTTAGCAAGCCGTGACCTGCTTTATCTTCTGAGTGACACTTGCTAAGCCAGCAGATTGAGCACTCATGGATGAGTGATGGGACCAAAGCTGGGCTTTGTTCACCCTTCTCTCTGGTCCAGGTAAAACATCCTGGGTGTGGCAGATGAAAGAAGACAAGGCGCTTGGCTCATGGGCAAACAAGGAATGGTGTTGAACAGGTATCAAAGACCCGTTTGCTCAGCTGGGGCCAAAGCTCTCAGAAGTTCCTTAACTCTCCCTAGCTCCACTTTGTAGCCCTTTCTGCAATTACCTCAAAGAAGAGGTGATGGGTAGCACCTTGGACAGTACCAATAGACCTCCCGTGGCCACAGCCGCAGCAGGGCTTACACAGTGGCTGCAGCCTCTATACTCTGAGGGCCTCCAGAGGAGAGACACAGTGGTGGAAGGCAAGTATGACCAAGCCTGGCTTCATTTCCTAGGGGCACAGAGGACCCACAGTTAAAATGCAAGACCTGGAAAGCCCCAGCCCCGAAGATATTTAGGAGTGCTCTTTAAGTGCTTCATGTTGGTGTGACAGTGACAAAGGGGAGAGGCTTGCCAATCATGCACACCCAGCTCATACTCCCCACACCGCCATGTCCCAGCTGTGAGACTATGGCTTGGCCACTTCAGTCTGTGAGGCTCAGTTTCCTTGTCTGGAAAAAAGGGACCGTAACACCAACCTCAAAGAAAGGATGTGCAAACTTAATTAATGAAAAGCCGGCCAGGTGCGGTGGCTCACACCTGTAATCCCAGCACTTTGGGAGGCCAAGGTGGGCAAACCACTTGAGGACAGGAGTTTGAGACCAGCCTGGACAATACGGTGCAACCCCATCTCTACTAAAAATACAAGAATTTACTGGGTGTGGTGGCACGCGACTGCAAACCCAGCTACTTGGGAGGCTGAGGCACGAAAATCACTTGAGCCTGGGAGGCAGAGGTTGCAGTGAGCCAAGATTGCACCACTGCACTGCAGCCTGGGTGACAGAGCCAACTCTGTCTGAAAAAACAAAGTAATGAAAAACTCTTGGCCTACTACCTGGACCCTGGCAGGTGCTAAATACACCTTGGTTTCTCCTCCCTCTGTCCTTCTTGACTGTTGAGTCCCAGGGCTTTGTAGCTGGTTTTATAAGACCCAGCGAGCCAGCTTCTCAGGCCAGGTCTGGGCTTCTCAACCTTGGCATTCCTGACGTTTGGGTCAGATAACTCTGCTGCACAGGGAGGAGGCTGTCCTGTGAGGTGTAGGATGCTCAGCACATCCCTTGCCTCTACCCACTAGATGCTGGTAGCACTGTCCCCCATGGTTGGGACAACCAAAAATGTCTGCATTCACTGCCAGCTGACCTTGGAACTGGGGAATAAGGCAAAATTGCCTCTAGTTAAAAACCAGAGGGACAGGGGCACAAGGAAACACACTTGGGTTTAGGAGGGCAGGGGGCAGTGAGTGACAGGGGAGTGGCAATACCAAGAGAAGCACAATCAAAGGTCCTCTGACAGCGCTCTGCAGGAACTCCTTCAGGTGAGTTTTACCCATGAACAGAATTTTGCTTTTTGAATTTAATAGGTGAGAATATCAGACTTTCTTTTCAACCCTACTAACCTGTGACCAATTCCCTTGAACTGACACAACTGCCCTCCAAAGACCCACTTTTCTTGGTGAGCTGCTAAAAGCCAAACAAACAAACAGAAAAACTAAAAACCGAAAACCAAACCCTCCATAGTCACTGGCTGTGTTCTTTCTACAGGTAACCAAGCGCAGCTGCTGACTACACAGAGAGGTCAAGAAGCAAAAGGAGCTGCCACAGAGAAGGTGTGAGAAACGCAGGACACCTCCCCAAAGAGCAGGGCATTTGGCTGTGTAGACTGGCCCTCTTTTTGGACACATCTTCCACATGGAATAAGAGGACAGGTGTGCAGGCAGTGCTCGGGCACTGAGCGGACATCACTTGACCAGGGATTAATCCAATGGACCCATTTCTCATGGAGCCCAAACTCTTCTGAGGACCTCAGTCAGAACTGCAGGGGCCGCTCTGCCCTGAGGCCTGGTGTTGGAGCTGTCCTGCTCAGCACCTTGTCATTGTGATCCCCTGAGGTCGGGTGGGATGCCCTGCTGCCCTCACCCTGCACTGCTTTGCATGTTAAACACATTTATGCACCGAAGTCCCCTTTTGCCCTGGAAGGCTTTTGAGGTACAGTGAACCCCATGCACGTCACAGATGTATTAAATAAAGGAGTTGCCAACCAACTTAAACATCAAGAGTTTAAATCAAGATGTGCATTTCTGCCACCTCTTGAGAAGGTCAAGGGTTTTTGTCTGGCTAGCCGCAGTCCTATATAATGGGAATCAACTGGGTGAGGAGTGCCTGATCCCTTTAGATAGGGCCTATGAGCTGCACTCCACACCACTCCCTGCTGACAATTCAATGGCTTAATTCGCTTATATGATATTCCCGGACCTACAGGCACCCGAGTGTCCCATGGAATCCCACTCGACAGAGGTGAATTCAGGGTGCCCGTTGATGCTGGAAGCTCACAGAACCAAGGCCCCAATTAGGGGTGTCAGTCCTGGTAGCGGGGTGTCTCCTCCCTCCAAATAATACACCTGGTTGATAATGACGAGGCTAAGAAAGTAAGAAATGAGGACAGCTGGCTGCAGTGGCCAATAGGCACTGCTCTCAGATGTCACAGGTCTGTCCAGGATCCCCTTTGCGGGGGATGGAGGGGTGCCACATTAGCATGTCGCCTCCTGTTGGTGTGCAAATGTGCATCAACATATCAGAAAAGGGGCCTAAGATTCCACGAGCCCAAACAGCCTCTTAGCCTCTAAGCTATCCCAGGACCCACAAACAGCGACTAGGGCTGCCTTTCCAGGCTGCAGATTCTGTAAAGTGCTCCATATCAGAATAAGCTGGAAAACACCAGCAAAGTGTCCTCCATGGCCTCAGATGGCTGCCAGTTCCAGAATCCAGTTCATTCAGAGAGAGGCCCTGCCTGGCAAAGCCGGCCGCATTTCTAAGCAGAGCTGTCGAGTTGAACCTGCCCCTCCCAGAGGTGTGATGTGGGCTGTGGCTTGCAAAGGCACCATCTCTTCCCCTTGCTGCCCTCGATGACTTGTTGGTGGCACTCTCCCCACAGAGGAGGGGCACAGGGATGCCACCACAGCTGCGCTGCGCCACCTGCTCCCTGGGTCCGCAGCCAACTCGGCATTGGTGGAGAAGGACAGCCTGCTATTCTTAACGCTCTAGGGCTAGGTGTTGATTCTACAGCTCTCTTCTGCAGGGGAAGGCTTCCCTGGGAGACATTCGCTCCCCTCACTAGGCTGACGAGGCTCTCTGGCTTTCCTGCCTCCCCCTGCCTCTGCCCCGTGGGCTCCAGGCCCCTTCCTTGTCCCTAGCTTCCATCTGAAGCCAACACCTCTTCCTGCCCTCTCTTTCCCTGGGAACCTGACCCGATCTCATAACCTCTGTGATCCCCCATATGTCAGCTAATTCCATGTTTTATATCGGGAAATCGTATCCCAAAGAGTATTTCCAAATTCCTGAGAGAGACTGGGATTTGAGATGATGAAGTCAGAATTCCTGAGTTCTCAGGAATTCTCCAAATCATGTTATTCTTAAACTATTACTAACAGCCTTCCCACGACTTCCTCATTATCATAGAAATCTAAAAGGATTTGCTTAATAATACTGAGTTTGGTAGGATTTGCAACAAACGACAGCCTAGAATGAACATCCAAATGCTGGAAAACACCAGCGAACGCTGTTGGGTGCTGCTGAAAGAATCACACATGTGCATCTCCTAGCGAGGCTCATGGCACTAGAGTCGGGTGTCCAGAATGCCAATTTAAGGACTTGCTGTGCTTCCAAAACTTGTTACTTCTTGGAATACCACTCACAGCAAGTACACAGTTTACATAAACATATTAGTATTTATTTGCAAGAATGATTCATCATTTGCAGGAGACAGGGCCAGGAACACACAGTTGGAACGTGGCATCAGCACAAGGCAATCCTGACAAATGAGATCGTGACCACGTCTCCCCCAGTGTTCCTGTCTTGTTTCCTACAAACGGCAACCCAGACTTCCAGCTCCGTGTGGTGACGCCTCCTGCTCGTGCCTCTGCTTGGTCGCTGTGGACTCCTCCAAGCCATGACTATCACACCTTAATTGCCATCAGAATGATTATAATACACTTCTCCAAACTCTTAACTGGGAAGCCATCCATTTCCTGTGACTTGAGATGGGAGAAAACATACATTTCCTGAGGCAGGTCTGGGAGAAACTGACACCTAAAGCCAGCTCAGAGGTGGCCATCCTAGGAGACATTCACTCTGCTTTCTCCTGGATCTGGGCCTGCCTTCAGGATGCAGATAGACCAGTGTCTGACCTCAATGCTTCTTTTTCATCTCATCTGCTCCCAAACAGGCATCCCCTCCTTGTCCCCTTGACCTCCCTGCCCCCAGATATTCGGCCTTGAAAACTTGGCATCTTCTGATACTCCCCTTCCATCGCCCCAGCTGGCAGCTTAGTCACCTACTTGAGTCTCACCGTCCTCATCCCAGAGGGTGGCAATGCCACCGCTGCCCCCTTGCCATGAGGACCAGGGAGCATGAGGACCTGACGGAGTAGGGCCCCACGTCCCCTCTTGGTAGGGCCTTCCAAACCCAGGTTCCCCTTTCCTCTTGGCCGTCTGGTCAGGCCCTCCCCACCTTCTATCTGAAACATCATGAGGGCACCCCAGCCCATCGCCCAATCCATCCACTACCCAATGCTGGTGTGCTCTTCGGAAAGCACAGCCTTGAGCTCATGCACCTGCAAGGGCTCCTGCCCCCAGAGACCAAGAGCTCCACCGTAGGTCCCAGCACGCCCTGACCCTAGGGCCAGCCGCCCTGTTCTCTAGCCACAGGGGATGACTCGGGGCTCCCTGCTCTTGCAGCTGTTCTGCATGCCTGGAGAGAATGGCTTCCCCTTTCATCCAGATCAAACCCTGTATATCAAATTGGTATAAGAGGGTGGGCTTTAGTGATGTTGGGTGAAATTTAAAAAGCACACACCCTCTAAGCCAGAATGGCTTCTAGACATAAAGTCTGTAGATCTACCTGCCAAAATGGGTATCCATTAAAATGTTTCAGACCACAGTCTGTGGGAGAAAAATCTGGAAACCACTTAACTGTTCAAGTACAGCAAGGGTGAAATAAATTATGCAACACCCATTACAGTGGATACTTTTAGCCTTTAGAAGTCCTGAGAGAGTTTTATTAAATTAAGAAAGGCAGCTGGGTGCGGTAGCTCATGCCAGTTACCCCAACACTATGGGAGGCCGAAGCAGGTAGATCACCTGAGGTCAGGAGTTTGAGAGAAGCCTCGCCATGGAGAAACGCTGCCTCTACTAAAAATACAGAAATTAGCAGGCGTGGTGGCAGGCGCTTGTAATCCCAGCTACTCGGGAGCCTGAGGCAAGAGAATTCGCTTAAACCCAGAAGACAGAGGCTATAGTGAGCAGAGATTGCGACAATGCACTCCAGCCAGGGCGACAAGAGTGAAACTCTGTCTCAAAAAAAAAAGGCAAATTGTAGAACAGTGAAGTTTGTATTTGACTTATGTAAGTACTGATGATTTCTATTATATAAGAGACTTGACAGTGATTGCAGGAATAGGTGTGAACGGCGGGCCTCATCTTCTATCTTTCTGTAGTGTTTCACGGTTTTTTCCACACTAGAAGTTCATCACTTCCCCTAACGTATCTGCTCCCCACAATTGCCGTCCCTGAGGCTCCCTTTCTGCTGGTAGGAACAGTTACACACATATGGTGCTTTCTGTGTGTGATGTGGTGTTCTAAAAGACCACTTTCCTCCTAAGTGGCAGAGCCAAAGACTATTACTGACTCCAAAATCAACACCATGTGTTCCATGTGGCTCCTACGGGGTCTCAAACTCACCTGCCTTAGAGGGCCAGGTGGCTGATGGAAGTCAGCAGAGCAGGCCAAGGGGAAAAGCAAGAGGCAGTGGTTGGAACGGTGCCAAACTGGGACATGCTCACCCATGGAAAGTCACACACACTGACATTGTATTTTAACACACACCTAACCAGGAGGCCCGCAGGTCTGAGCTCTCTTGCACAGCATCACCACTCCTTCCTGGCAACTGAGCAATGTTTCTATGAGACTGGAAGGTTCTGGCCAGTCCACAAAGCAAGGGAAGTCAAAAGTTGCTACTTCCTGTTAGCAACGACTTGCAAAACAGAAGGTCTCAGCTTAGGTTCAAGTGGCCCCTGGCAGTGCACAGGTCAGGGCATGGCATCACTGAGCTAAATGTAACCTGCTCACTGGGAGAACACGGCAGCAGCTCGTATTTCAGCAAAAAAAGGATCTATTTCACAACTCTAAGAGAGAATGCAGCAGCAAATGGGGGCGGGGGTGGGGGTGTGGGAAACTGAGACCGGGTTTTCTACTGAAAATCTAGTTGGGAATTTGTGCTGTGACCTACATTACTCTGCCACCTTCCAGGCCCCTAACTTTCTCTCTCCTCAAGGAGTAGCAGAACATAATGTATTTTCCAAAGTTAAATTACTCTGCAGAAAAACATTTTAATAATGTGCTAAATGACAGCACGGCAAAGCACTGAAACTGTCGCTGATTTGCGGTCCAGTACCACTGAGCCAGTCCAAGCCTCCCTCCATGAATGGCACCTCACATCTTCCTGGGTATCTCTGCCATCTGCCAAGTGTCACGTCTCTCAGTAACCACCCTTTCCCCAAATGTCAGACGATGAACACAACATGGGGCTTCCAAAAGATGTAGGTGTGGGGAGGCTGGCACTCATCTGACTCTGGTCCCCACCTGGGCCACACTAATACACAGAGTTCAAAATAGAAAAGAAATGCCCCACTTCCCACCGGCCTACTTTCCAATTCAGAGCTGGCATTAGCAAGGGAGGCAATGGGAGGCAGAGAGACTGGGAGGAAAAACTCAACCTGCCGATTCTTCAACTCTTAGATTTGTGCAGATGGCAGATTACTTAGAAGTCATGATGCCCCTGGAGAACACAGTGAAATATGGACACCTAAAATGGAATTAAAAAATGGAAGCATGTATGTGAAAGCAGGTCCTGTCTAAATGTAATACTGGACTAAAAGTTTGAAGTAATATTTGTGGGGAAAAACACAAGCAATTTCTACCCACTGGGTTTTATCTTTCCTGCCTACCTTCTCAGCTCCCAAACCAGAATGAGACCACCATTCCTGAAATTAACCAGATGCCCCATTCATAGAACATGCAGGACCACAGTGTGCAAGCCAAATGCATCATGGGTCATGTGGTGTGTCCGCAAATTCAAATGGAGGAGCTGTGCGAGCAGCAGGGAAGAGCCAGGGCTGCAAACTCCAGAGCCAGGTGGTAATGCTGGCGAGTAATCCACCCAAGTGTATGACATAACAAGGGCAAGAGCATGGTAGGGGAGGCTGGCTCAGTGCCCAGGAGACAACAGGAGTTGGGAGCTCGGTGGACATGGGGCACCCAAGTGCGGGAGAGTAGGGGAATGGGGCTCTGACCAATTCTTCTGATTTTTCTAGAGAAGCTGGGCATGGTGGCTCACGCCTGTAATCGCATCGCTTTGGGAGGCTGAGGCGGGTGGATCACCTGAGGTCAGAGTTTGAGACCAGCCTGACCAACGTGGCGAAACCCCATCTCAACTAAGAAAACACAAAACTTAGCTTAGCATGGTGGCACGTGCCAGTAATCCCTGCTACTCAGAGGGTGAGGTGGGAGAATCGCTTGAACTCAGGAGGTAAGGGGTTGCAGTGAGCCAAGATTGTGCCACTGCACTACAGCCTGGGCAGCAGAGTGAGACCCTGTCTCAGAAAAAAGAAGCTTGACATCTGGATTTTTTAATCTGACACCTTCTAATTTTTTGATGTTGGCAAGTACTTCATTAAGAAAAATAACAAAACAAAACCCCACTATACTGGCTAAATAAAACAAGTTGGAGAACCAGACTCAGTCTGCAGGCTGCAGGCTTCCCACCTACAGCCCCAAAACATGGGCTATGGTGCCAAACACCCTAGGATCGTCATGTGCTGGGTGGGGACCCCAGGATCAGCCAGGTCACCCCTCTGAGCTTCACTTTCTACAGCACTATGAAATAGATTTATATAATTACATTGTAATTATGAAGTATCATAAACCCTGAGAGGTTGTCAGTTTGATGGCAACTTTGTAAGACTCCACCTAATAAAATGGAGCTACGGGGCCCACCTCATTGGCTGTCCAGAAGATGAGATGAGATGGATGCTGTGAAATGTGGGGCACCCACAGGAAAGTGGGGGGTCCTCTCTTTAATGAACAACCCAGTTATATTCAGTGACTCAAATGGACTTATCACATCCAAAATCAACATTTGAAAGAACCAAGGAGAAAATCTGTGAAGATTTATAAGAATAATTACGCTATGGAGGTTTATTTCCTTAGCCAGGAGATTTTTGTTTTGCTTTGTTTTGTTTTAACCAGAAATCTCTCAGGCTCGGCTTTCCAGCTGAGACAGAAGTCTCGCTGCTTTCTGTGGGCTGCACATGGAGAAAGGACATGATCCCGTGGAGATTCACCAGCTCCAGCAAGGTTTGGTTGCAGCTCATCCATCATTACCCAGAATGAAACAAGCTGCACAGTCTAACCTGTAATCCCATCCTACTCAGAAAGGAAGAAGAAGAAGGGGGCAGTGTGATTTGGAACAGTGAGGAACGCCAAAGAGCTTTTAGTCAAAGAACTGTTTAATTTTACCTGGGGTCTAGACCAACACGTAGTCAAAATTCTAGCATCAATGCTGTGTCGTTTGCCACAGTCTCCCACTGAAATTCTTGTTTTTTTTAAAGTCTATAAATTGGACCTTGTGTTCTGTGTGCTAATTAGGCACAAAAGGTTTCTCTCTCAGTGCTGACTGATGGCAACCAGCAGGGCTGAGATTCACAACACACTGAGAGGCTCCCATTAACGTACAGTTTTTACAATTCGGCAGATGAATGTTTGGGAAACACTGGACTGGAGATGCCTGTGCTGCTGGAGCCAGGCGGGGGTGAGGGCGGCGGGGAGGGGACATCAACTTGCAGACAGGGCAGAGCCTCCTGCTCACACTCTCAGCAACAGCAGCATCTTAGGAGCAACTTGCTAACTCCATTTTCACTAGGGAATTCAGTAGATGCGCAGTGACTCAGCGAGAGGCTAATTCCCCATGCACCCCGGGCCAGGGGGCTGTCTCTAAGAGAATGAGAACTCACGTGATCTATCATGGCCATTTCCAAATACTGAGATCAAAGCCCTGGTATCACAAATAAAAGGAGAATAGGAAAATACAGTGCTCTAGATACTGTCTTCTATTCAGGATAAAAAGATACCTGTTATCACAGGGAGCACAAAATGATGATGTCTTCTCAAAGAAACCCCCAAACAATTAGAAAATCTAAGCGACCATCTTGGAGACAATTTCAAAAGACCTAGGCAGGGAAGAGGGGCAGCTGCTGATGTCTATCTGGATGGTAATGCGGGACACACCCCATAGACAGAAGCACACCCCATAGAAGCTGACTCCCAAAGGTGCACCCCACAGAGAGGAGGAGAAATCAGCCCTCTGTATGGAACCCAGCATCACCATCAGAACAACTGTTAAAGAGCTACAGTGATGAGAAACTCTTATTTTATCCCAGCAAATCACACCGACCCAGACCAGTGCTTCTGGAATGATGAGTCCCAACCCCACTGTTCTTGTCTGTATGTGCCTGCCACCACGTTCAGCTAATTTTGGCATGCCTGGCTACTTTTTGCATGCCCAGCTAATTTATGTATTTTTAGTAGAGATGGGGTTTCACCATGTTGGTCAGGCTGTCTTGAACTCCTGACCTCAGGTGATTCACCTGCCTCAGCCTCCCAAAGTGCTGGGATTACAGGCGTGAGCCACCATGCCTGGCCTGAAGCAGAATGCTTTTCTAAGTGCATAATATGTAAATTCCTTTTTTTTTTTTTTTTTTTTTTTTAACTTTTACAAGAGAGAAGAAGGCAAGCAATTTAGGTCTATTAATATTAACGTTCATTTTAAGTAATACTCATATAAAGATAATCTAAGTTAATACTGGTAGGAGTCTGGGAGAACTTTTCCTTGGGTTCATCATCCAAGTTTGAGAAACACCGACACAATTTGTTTTAGTTTTGGAGTATCTATGGGCTGCACAGAAAATGAATCTTTCCTTGATTGAAACGTGTGAAAGTATAAAATCACAAAGCCCTGAGTTTATCTGTGAGCCTCAAATCAACAATGCCCATTTGCAGGCCTGCTCTCTTCCCATCTCTTTAGAAGCTCCAAAGCCTGAGGTCTGGCCTCCATTCCATCTCAGCACCTGAAACAGCCCCTGGAGCTCGCCTGGGTCCCCTGGCGATCAGGGCATCACGGAGGACCCTGTGCTCCCCGACCTTCCAAAGAGACCAAGAAAGCAGCGCCGGCAGGGCTGGCGGCGCGTGCCCACGGGAGCGGTACTTACACGAAGAAGGGCATCAGCTGGATGAGAGTCTCTTTCTTGGGGCTGGCGGCAAACTCGGGGACCATCTGGATGACTTTGTTCATGACGCTACGCAGGTAATTCTGGAGCTGCTTTCTGCGTTCCTCAACAAACTTGGCATCCTGGGGAAACAAAACACATCTTCCCTCAGGTATGTGTTCCTCACCTGGTCAGAAACGACCCCGTACAACAGGCAATTATCCATCAGAGCCATCCAGACAGCCAGCATTTATTGAGTCACTGCCTTGCACAAATGGGCCCTAAGCCCTTACACGTATTATTACATGTAATAACAAGAAAGATGCTCATTATATTATGATTAGGTGGAGGAAAAGCAGGTCCAAGACCTATAGCTGGTGTGTTCCCATTCAAATGGGACAGTTATTTAAGAGGCACCAAAATGTGCCAAATGTGGTGCTGGGGGCCAGGGGAAGAACAACAAACACCAATTGTCACTGCTATGGCTTTCATGGAGTTCACAGGCCAGATAGGAGACACAAATAAATCCAGTGAGTGCACAGGTCAGCAGGTAATTATTAATCACACTGAATAACACTCCAGAGCATGGGCTTAATTTTGGCTTCAGGGGAGTTTCTCAAAATACAAATCAATTGCCACTGATTAAGAAAGATATTTTATTAGCATTTCTGTATTCTCTTGACAAACTAGGGTGAATGGTAGCGTGGTCCCACCCATAGGGCCATACCAGGCTGGGCTGAGCTATGCAGTGTGGCCCCAGAAGGAAGGCACAGGTACCCAGGTCTGAGCAGGTTCCACCACTCAGTGAACAGGGGCTCTGTGCTCTGGAAGCCCCTCACTCATCCTGCAGACCCCATGCCACCCCACCCCTGTGTCTGCTTGGTGTTTGCAGACAGGGCCAGCTTGCTAGGTGTGCAACCCATGCTGTCACACAGTCCACACGGGGACTGCGTGGTGATCTGCTGCCCACCTGGAGATTCTCATTAATTTGGAAACAGGTGCTCCACACTGCACGTTGGCATGGGCCCCACATATTCCATAGCCAGTCCTGCTCTGTGCATCTGTGCTAAAGACACCCTGGGCAGTGAGCGTGGGCGCCAGGAAAGGCTGTCTCTGAGAAGGTGATGCTCCTTCTGGACTGAAGACCAAACAGGGTGAAGAAACAAAGAGCTGAAAGAGGGCAGTGGAGGAACGGCATCCTTCCAACCTCACAGAACACGAGGAGGAATGTTCTATGAAAACGGCACGTAGCCAACGAGGAACAACAGTCTGCGGCGGGCCTCGGGACCTCGCCCAGGAGGCCCCACAGATCGGGTGGGGCACTCGTCTCTGCTCTTCCTGTGCAGGGACAAAGCGGCCCAAGGTAGGGGCTCAGTTACAATCTGTCGAACCTAGAAAAGCCACCTAGCACCACGTGCCCTGGTCTCTGATGAACAGCTCCCACATGCCAGGCACAGTGGCTCATGCCTGTAATCCCAATATCTTAGGAGGCCAAGGCAAGAGGATCGCTTGAGCCCAGGAGTTTGAGACCAGCCTGGGTAACACAAGGCCCAATCTCTACAAAAAACTGAAAAAAAGTAGCTGGGCATGGTGGTGTGTACCTGTAGTCCCAGCCACATGGGTGGCTGCAGCTGGAGGATTGCTTAAGCCTGAGAGGTAGAGTGCACAGTGAGCTATGATCACACCACTGCATTCCAGCCTGGGAAACAGCTAGATTCTGACTGTATTAGTCCATTCTCACATTGCTATAAAGAACTACCTGAGAATAAGCAAATTTTTTTTTTTTTTTGAGATGGAGTCCTGCTCTGTCACCCAGGCTAGAGTAAAGTGGTGCAATCTCGGCTCACTGCAACCTCCGCCTCCCAGGTTCAAGCGATTCTCCTGCCTCAGCCTCCCAAGTAGCTGGGACTTCAGGTGCATGCCACCAAGCCCAGCTAATTTTTGTATTTTTAGTAGAGATGGGGTTTCATCATGTTGGTCAGGATGGTCTCGATCTCCTGACCTCGTGATCTGCCCATCTCAGCCTCCCAAAGTGCTGGGATTTCAAGTGTGAGCCACCGTGCCCGCCTATAAACCACATTTTCTTTATCCATTGACATCTGTGATATCTTCACTCATGTTCCATTCTCAGAGCTTTCCCTGTCCTTACAACAAATCCAAGGCTGGTCGCTGAATTTCAGAAAGGTGGGGAAGTTGCACAAAGGGTCAAGACCAGGAGGTGGCTGAGCAGGGCCTTCCATCAGGCGGCAGGGACAGCCTCCCCCAATACAGAAGACAACTTTCAACCTTCGGAATAAAAACGCACGGGTTCCTCTACAGCAGGCTTCCCCAAAGCAGGGTTCAGTTCTCTGAAATTCTACTTCCAGGTTGGCTTTAGTAGAAGCCATTTACCGTGGGAAGAGGAGGAAGACTGGCCCCTGGGTGCAGGTGCGGGTGGGGCTGCCTCACTCATCCTCCGCCCCTGACTTTCCCTCAGGTCTCACTCTGACCCTAGCGGGGCATACACCATGGCCTGAATCACAGCATAGGACTCGGTAGAATGTGATCTGAGGAGTGTGGAAGATTCCAGAATAATTCATGGAAGGCTATATTCTTGCCTGTGACTGGGTTTTTTGTTACTTTTTTTTTATTGTAATTTTTTTTTTTCTTTGAGACAGAGTCTCGCTCTATCGCCCAGGCTGGAATGCAGCGATGGGATTCTGGGTTCAAGAGATCCTCCTGCCTCAGCCTCCCGAGTAGCTGGGATTACAGGCGACTGCCACCATGCCTGGCTAATTTTTGCATTTTTAGTAGAGACTATGTTGGCCAGGCTGGTCTTGAACTCCGGACCTCAGGTGATTCACCCACTTTGGCTTCCCAAAGTGCTGGGATCACAGGCATGAGCCACAACACCTGGCTGAACAATTCTAAATATGGCAAAAAGCAGGGCAAATTTTAATGAATCCCTACAATACTTTCTCCAAAAACTCTTAACTCTTTCCCGTATTTATGTCACAATTTTTACCTTCTTGCTAAGGTATTTGAAGGTAAATTATAGTCATGACATTTTACTCCTAAATACTTCAGCGTGAATTTGTGAAAAATTAACATTTTCCCATTTAACCACAATGGCATAATCACCTCTAACAAAATTCATGACGACTTGGTGTTATCTAAGACCTCGCCCATGTTGAAACGTTTTGAGTTTTCAAATGTGCCTGCTGCTTGTGGAATTTTACAAGAGGAGTTACAGTACACCTCTTTATCTATCAGTTCTTTAACAGGTTGAATTCAATACTGTTCAGATTGGATTCCCCTGGGGATCACACGGGTTCTGACATTTTGGAGAATACGGTGCCACCGTTTTCACCATAAGCTGCTCACAGAGGTCCACAGACTAAATGCGACCCACAGGTATGTTTTTGTATGGCCTGAGCAATGTTTTGAAACATTAAAACCAAGAGATTTCTCGGTAAAACCCAGATTTCTGGCTTCCTTTTAAATAATGAGCAGCCTTGCCAGTGGGTAGAGGCTAAGCCAGGAGCGCCTCAGTAGCGGGCCACATAATGCTGTCACTCTGCCCAGCCTGCTCCCCTGCCTGGCAGCCTCCGTGGGCCCGGGCATTTGCAAGCCCTGATTTATACCCCTTGCACAGGCAGTATGATCAGCTGAGGCCCTAGAAATGCATCCCAGAGGCTACACTGCATCTACTTCACATCACAAGGTGTCATTCCCTGAGGCTGTCAGAGACCTGCAGTACCATTTACCGGCTCTGTGGGAACCCATCTAAATCCCCTGGAATCTCAGTTTCTCATCTGCAAGATGGCGACAGGGTAGCACCTACCCCACTGGTGATAACCCAGGCTCAGCACCTGGTAGCCAGCATGGCCTGCCAGGCCTGTGGCAGGTGCTGATGATCCATGGGTGTTTAACTGGGATCCTTTTCCTCGAGAAGTTTAAACATGCACAAGTGGGTGGGGACAGGCTGGGGCAAGTGTTGCAAGATAACGCTCATGTGCTCAGGGAAGCTCGCAGGGAGGAGTGTCTATGTTTGCAGGAGGGCTGGAGAGAGCGTTTCACTCTGGAGAGGCAGCCTCTGAAGTTGGCACTTTAGCTGGCTCCTGGAGGAAAGGTGTGTGGCCATTGCCTGGTCAAGGTGGTACCCTCAGAGTCGGGGAAAGGCATGCCATATGGAAGGAACAGCAAATGCACAGAAGAAATCCCAGGCAGAAAGAGCTTGGCTTGCTGGAATAGGAGAGGGCAGCCCCTGTGGCTGGGTTTAGAGGTTCCAGAGGTGTAAGACTGCAGTGTCAGCGGCAGTAAACCAAGCAGAGCCATGCAGACCAGAGAACAAAGCCAGAGAGAGGTGGGAGGCCGATGATCTGATAAACACTGAGAAGGAATGCTTGGAGGACAGTAGGGTATAGGCAGCTTAGGCAGAGAGCTTTCAAACTTCTATCATGACGCTCTGCCGCTGGAATTCTTCAATGGCTCCCATGCACTCTGTCTACCTCCCAGCATGCACAACTAAACTCCTAGTGCGGCTCAGGGGAATCTCTCGATCTGACCTCAGCATGCCTTACCAACCTCCCTGCATGTCACCTTCTCCCCAACGCCTCCCACCCCCACCCTCACCAACACTGTAATATATCAGCAGCCCCAAGTTTATTTTCATGTTCAGCACAGTCTCCTGATGTCTCCCGTCTCTATCTGGGATGTCCCCCTGTCCCAGAAGGCCTTGCCATTGCAGTCTTTGCTCGTGTGCCACCACCTCCGATAGACCTCTCGGGACACGCCAGTGGAGGTCACCCAGGCCCTCTCTGATCCAGTGCTCATTCTCCTTTCTTCAAAGCACTCGTTACTTCCCGGATGGTCTCATTCCTTCACTGCAGGCCTCTTGCTCCCCCACCTCCCTTGCTAGACCAACCGTCTGCCTGGTTCATCCCTTTACCTCCAGAGCCTAACACAGTGCCTGGAGATCACAAGAAGCTCCATACACATTTTCTGAAAGAATAAATAGTTGTTGGGGATAAAACCAGGGGAGGCAAGGCAGGCCGCAGGGAGAATGACCTGGAGGGTGTTGCCAAAGTCCAGAGAGAGATAACAAAGACACCTGGTGGCAGAGTGGACAGACTGGCCTGGAAGCCAGCTCCCTGGTTCCAAA